GGCGGGGGGGTCGGGGTGGGGGGTGGGCACACCTCCTAGCATATTTAAGCAACTGTGGTATGGTGATAGAAGCCCTGGATGTTTTAGTTAGAAGGCCTGTATTCAGTCAAGTTTTGTGAGGCAAGGAAGACATCTGACCTCTCTGAAACTGTTTCTTCTGTTCAAAAAAGGGATGATAATACTTACACATCATCAGGTTGTTGTGAGATTAAACAAGTCGCCCTATTTTTTTTTTTTATTTTGAGACAGGGTCTCACTTTGTCATCCAGGCTAGAGGGCAGCTGCGTGATCTCGGCTCCCTGCAACCTTCGCCTCTCGGGTTCAAGCAGTTCTTGGGCCTCAGCCTCCCGAGTCGCTGGGACCACAGGTGTGCACCCCGATGCCTGGCTATTTTTTTCATATTTTATTAAAGAGGCAGGGTCTTGCCATATTGTCCAGCCTGGTCTTGAACTTAAGAACTCAAGCAATCCACCTGCTTCAGCCTCCCAAAGTGCTGGGGTTACAGGTGTCAGTCACTGCACCAGGCCAAGTTGCTCTGTTTTAAATCATGAAGCTTCATGAAATGTGAAGTATAAAGCAGACATTTTCATTATTCATTTGAGCTGTTTTCACAAAGAGAAATATAATAATAATCTAATGTTTACCAAGTATTAGATACTATAATTAAGCACTCCATCTGAATGCATTTCATGCTTATGCTTATGAAGATGCTTAATGCTGAATACTTAATGAAGATGAAGAAACTGAGGCACAGAGGAGGACAAGCAATTTGTTCAAGGTCACATACGTAATAATGGCAGAACCAGGCTTCAAATCCAGGCAATCGAATTCCTGAGTCTATATAACCTAGATATGTTTTAGCAACAAATCTGTTTTTCTTCTATAATTTCAATGTCATCGATACCTCAGTTCTTCTGATGCTGGCTCTCAGAATTAGCAAGGCTGAATGTCTTATCATTTACTTTTTGTCTCAGTAACCTCACCCCTAAAGAGGAGGTCCTGTACAACAATACAAAGGAGAAAGGCAGACAAGGGCCAGGAGAGAATGTGGAGGTGGGAGAGAACCCTGAATGGTGGAGACATTCCTTGACTGTTCTGTAGGCAATAACCCAGACCAGTGTAATCTAGGATGTTTCTGAAATTCTGCTTTTACCAGAGAGAGCTGTGTCACATATTTGGTGCTCAGTGACTAGTAGGCTATGTGGCCTTCACACACTATGAAGCTTTGAATGAAGCTGAGCCTTTATAAATGTTTAGAGTCAAAGGAATTAAAAACCTAATGTAACCTACAAGATCATCCCCAATCCCCTCACATTATGGACTTCTCCTCTCCCTCCCCATTGACGTCTTTCAAAAAAACAGAAACAAAACAAAACAAATGAAGTTGCCTAAGACCTACTTCTTAAGCCCTGAGCCTAGAATTCAGGCTTTCTATTCCCAGTGCTATGTTCTTCCACTACATTGTGATTACCATTTGACATCTTCCTTTATAGGGCCACATTGTGAACAGCCATTTCTTGGCATTTCAGTAACTAAATCCACTTAGATGAGCTCCCCAGATCGCCTTGCATTATACTTTATTTTGCTCTATAAAGAATATGGTTATTTTTTGGCTGAGAGATTAATAATTTTGGGTGGAAACCAGAGAATTCTGATGCTCTTCTTCCCCTAATGAAATAATCTAGAGGTGTGCTGATTTAGGAAATTTAAAAGGCTGTTTGGCTGCCAGGGTTCGCATGCAAAAAGCTTTATTTTCTATACCTTATTTTGTAATGAAACACCTGTGCCCATTTTCAAACTAAATGAACACGGATAACATTTCTTTTGCTCTCTCTCCTTTTCTGTCTCCTTCCCTGTCAATCCCTCCCTTACTTCCCTTCCATTCCAAATCAGGATATTGGCCCTCCTACAATATTCCTTTCCATGAAAAGATCTACAACTGGAGTGGCTATCCACTGTTAGTTCAGAAGCTGGGCTTGGACTACTCTTATGATTTAGCGCCACGAGCCAAAATCTTCCGGCGTGACCAAGGGAAAGTGACTGATGTGGCATCCATGAAATATATCATGCGATACAACAGTACGTAGCATATTTCTCAAGAATCATTCTTCAAAACTCCTTTTCTTCCCTATGGATAAAGAATCCATGTAAGTTTATCATCTCTGTACTAGAAGGAATTACAAGAAGTTATTTAAGTATTTAACTAATATTATACATTTTATACTCAATAATAGAGCTTTGGCCTCCTTTATAAAATGAAAGAGAAGAGTCTATACATTTTGTAATTGAAAAAAGTCATCTGTAAGACACAGAAGAAATAACTCATACAGGGTCATTTAAAATTTTTCTCCAAACACAAGTTTCTTTCCAAGGATAACAGCAGCTAATAAAACAAAAATTATTCATAAATACCTCATTTTTTTTTATGAACAGCATCAAAGTCAAATTTGTATTTCTTTTTTGATGAACAGCATCAAAGTCAAACAACTGATGCACATTTATCTGGTTCTCTCTCCCATCCATTTTTCACTGTGTAAGGTTCTTAAGAGCAGGCTGGGCCTGGGGCCAAGGACTTACTCCTTCCTCACAAGCCAAGGCAGATGTCTCTCTGGAAGCAGGCTGGGCTGAGGAGGCCTGTGGGGGTACACTCTCTGATTATCTAGGCTTTAACAGGCCCCAAAACCTTACTGTGGAGAAGTGTCTCCGAATAGCCAATACTCACTCTCTTCCCCATCTCTCTCTGTTTCCTAGATTATAAGAAGGATCCTTACAGTAAGGGTGACCCCTGTAATACCATCTGCTGCCGTGAGGACCTGAACTCACCTAACCCAAGTCCCGGAGGTTGTTATGACACGAAGGTAACATGCTATTGGCTTTTGAATGTAATTCCCACCAGCACACAGGCCTCTCCAAAGGCAAAGTTGCACAGGCAGGAAGCACAGTAATGGCTCTAACCATAAACTCAACCCAGGAATCAGCTCTTTCAGAGATTCTGGTGGTAGGTCCTATTATCTAACTTCAAGTCGCTGCTCTGCCATTTAGTAGTAAATCACATAATTCCATCATGTCTCTGTTTCTTCATCTGTAAAATGGATATAACAGTACTTACCTCATACGGCGTTCTGAAGAATAAGCCTTTCATCTCTGTAAAATGTTTAGAACAGTGTTGAGTTATTTGTAAATGTGTACAGCCATAATGACGATATTGTTGTCTTAAGTTTTACCAGACTGGCCCAAAGTCCAAAGAACATATTATTCAAGCACTGTGATTCCATGTTAAACATGAATCGAATTTAGCCGAAGGAGCAAGTTTGGACAAGATGCCTAAAGCACAGAGGTTTTTCACAACGTTAGAATTGATAAATGCTGTAATGTGTCTCAAAATATAAGTAATAAGTAGGTTTGCAGTGGTGTGCTAAAGCCAGCTCATAGACAGGCAGGAACCAATTGTTAGTTGACATCATGTTGATAGTTTGAAACCAGTCAAGTGAAAGTATTTACATTATGGAAATCAGGAACTTTTTTCCTCAGAAAGATGGTTGTTAAAAATTTACCTGCTCACCACTGGATTTGGGATGTCTGAGGGTATGAGGCATTTGGTTGGCAGATTATGCTACTACATCCTTTTGCAGTCTTGGCTTGGGTGTATGTCTTTCCATTTCACCACCTGTCCTAAATTCTGGAAGAAACCCGTCAGGGTAAACTGTGTATTCGGTCTTTGGCTCCAAAAATTATAGGAATGCTGACCCCAGTTATACATTATTCTCTATCAGCCTAATACCTAAACAGGAAATGCTTTAAAGTATCTTGAGTTCCAGCTCAACCTTCTTTTTAGCTATGTGATGAAGGCAAAGCTTTTAACCGTAATGATTCTCAATGTTAACATTTAAAAAAAAAAAAAAGGTAGATGTAGAGAAGCTGGCACAGATGAAACCCTTATGAATGTTTTTGTGTTCCTTTTTTAAAATGGTATTTGCAAACATTCAGTCAAATGTGTGAAGTTTGTATCTATCACAGAATACACCAAGAAAATCACCTGTGCTGCCTTGCCTGGGAGAACTCAAGCCAAGCTTCCCTCTACCAAATCTCACTTCTGGAGACAGAGGCCTACAATTGTTTTTATCAAAAAGTTTCTGTTGAAGGATATTCTTTAAAAATATAATTTCTCTCTTTATGGGGAAAATCAGAAGAGATTCTCCTTCCCCTCTAAGATTAGGATCCACTGCTAGTCAGTGGTTAGGTGTTTTTGAGAACCATGGCCCTCAATTTTTGACAGTGAGCTCCATCTACTTTAAGACTCGTTACCACCCTGATTAATAACAACTTTTTCTGAGGACGTCATCTATTCTAGGCATTGCTTTGAGCATTGCTTGCATTAATCCTCATGCCAACTCTATGAAGTAGGGTTATCAGCCCTTTTTACAAAGGAGAACACTGACTCATAGAGGGGTTAAGTGATCTTTAAATGAGCTTTGGAGCGAGAATTCTGAATGAGTAATCTGACTTCATAGCTTGCTTTTGGCTACACTGTTCATTTCACACACTTCTAGTTGATTGACATTTGATGCCAAATGTATACAGAAGACTACATCATACAAAGACAGTGTGAAAAATGGCAAGAAAATTTTGTTTTAAAGAAGGCAGCCTGGCGCAGTGGCTCATGCCTGTAATCCCAGCACTTTGGGAGGCTGAGGCAGGTGGATCACCTGAGATCAGGAGTTCGAGACCAGCTTGACCAACAAGGCAAAACCCCATCTCTGCTGAACCTGGGAGGCAGAGGTTGCAGTGAGCCGACATTGTGCCACTGCACTCCTGCCTGGGCAACAAGAGCGAAAATCCGTCTCAAAAAAAAAAAAAAAAAAAGCTCATATTATGACTTTGGTAGTTGGGGGAGTGGGAAAGGCCATGGGTTTAATTTTTTGCCAAATGATTTTTCTAAAATGTCCTCCTCCTCTCTCTTTCCAGGTGGCAGATATCTACCTAGCATCTCAGTACACATCCTATGCCATAAGTGGCCCCACAGTACAAGGTGGCCTCCCTGTTTTTCGCTGGAACCGTTTCAACAAAACTCTACATCAGGGCATGCCAGAGGTCTACAACTTTGATTTTATTACCATGAAACCAATTTTGAAACGTGACATGAAATGAAGGAGGGAGATGACAGACTAGAAGGCTGTAAATAAGAAACCAAAGGCACTATTTTAGCTATGTTTTTCCCATCAGAATTATGCAATAAAATATATTAAATTCATTTGTCACTTTCGTTTTCCACTGACTTTGTTGTTTTTACAGCAAGCACTCGCTATAAGGTAGAGCACTGTAGAAGAAATGTTATATATATAAATAACACTAAGCTTCAGTATACATGCTAATACACAAGAGGGTATGGCAGAAACTGCTCCTTCATTCAGCAGAATTCATATTCTCCTTTCATGCCTGCTCACACAGACCACATCTCCCAGTGTCCCTCAGATAGTTGTGCCACATGACAATTCTAGCCACTGGAACCTGAGACGAATGCCCGGCCCATAAGAATCTGTACTCCTCCTATGCTCTTTCCTGTTTCCCTGGATGAATATGCCTAATGACAAAACCCTAGGGGACGCTGGAGCTTCGTTTTCAAAGGAACCTCTAGTAGTAGTTAGTGATTGTAGTGATTTTTCGGGTCATTAACAGGCATCAGTTGAGTCCTTTTGTGGTGTAGGTTAGGCATACAATATAGTAAACCTTACTGTTGCCTCCTATAAGCCAAAAGCACCTATACAAGCTGGCAGCAACCCTGCATAGCAACTTTCTTTCAAAGTTGGAGAGTTACATGTGATCTGAGTGCCATGGAATTGCAAAGTAGGTTAAATAAGCCACACCACATAGTATGTAATGGGTGACTTTAAACAAGGCGGAAGATTCTTAAAAAAGAAAGAAAAAAGCCACAAGGGTGAATAACCAGAATTAAACAGAGTACTCAGAATGTTAAAAACCCAGTAGTTTTATTTCAAAGTATAAATTTCAGGCTTGCTGGACAAAACCCCACTACAGTTAACACTTATACAGACACCACTCTACTATACATTTAAAAAAGAAAAACACACACACGCACACACACACACACACATACACACATACAAACCTTCAAAACCCTAATAAAAATAGGGCCACTTGCTACAGCCCAGTTTGTATTAGACATTAGGAAGGTCTTACTTACATTGTCTTATTATTTACACTTTCAACTGCAATAAAGAAAAATTAGGATGCAAGTTACTTACAAAGGATTTTTATATTTAATTTTGAAATGGCTGATAAAATACTAAAGCCAGAATCCCCAAAAGGTGTTTGATTGCCCAGTTACCTTATTTACAAAAACAAAACAAAGAAACAGACAAAAACAAAAACCTCAAAAAAATGATAAAGACAGCATTTAAATATGGGTACTTAGCTGACTCTACAAATAAAAAACAAAGAAAAGTTTATTTTAACATGGTAAATTATTTGAAAATGAGAAAACAAAACATGTGTTTGCATTATCCTATTCCTCCCCATTGGCTGGCTCAAGGGGATGAATGAGTTTCAGGAATTAGACAAGTCTGCCACGCCAACAAACGCTTCATGAGAATTGCTGATTTGTGTGTGTGTCCCAAAAGTTAAAAAAAAAAAAAAAAAATAATAGGGCATTTGCCCAGTAAAAATAATAAGGAAGGTAGAATCACACATTGGTTTTAGACAGTTATTTGATATTGCAAATACTAGGACTTGATTTTTCTGGAAATTAGGATAAAACAGGCCAACCACAGGTCAGTGATAAAACAACAAAATCATAGGATGTTGAGGATACTGAATTGGCCCAAGAAGTAAAGTCAGGGAGAACATTTGGAAGGAAGGTCTTTGCAGTACCTTACTGTGCTAAGATCACAGTGTAAAAAAGTGAGAGATGAGGATACCACAGGCATTACTTTGTTAACCTTGTACAGTACTGGAAAGTTCATGAAACAAGATAAATGAATACCATGCAGTATTAACCCTGACCTTGTTGCATAAATGGTAATTTGGAGAATATTTAAAGCAAAAGAACAAACAACAAAGTTAACACTTACCCAATGCAGTAAGAGAACTGTAAGACGCAGCCTACTTAAGGAGGTCTGCAGATAGATGCACCTAAGATTCAAGCTGTTTTAGGTCACTTTTTCAAAGTATTTATTATCTGGCAATGGGGATGGGAGTGGGGAACACCTCTCTGTGAGGTAAATGATCTCTCAACAAATACCGACTTTTCAAGGAAGAAAGCTCTCCACTTCTCTCATAAATGTATATATTATCTTAAACAGTATGCAGTATTCTGCATATTTTTAAAAAATGAATCCAGAGAAATAGAAGGATATAGTTACCTCATAAAATTAACTGTTAACAACAGATGTCTTTGTATGTGATTTATAAATTTCTTGACAAGAACAGGATTTTTAGAAGAGGCTTACTCACACTTAAGACAGTGAAAATTACTCTCACAGAATGCAAAGTATAGAATAATAAACATCACCGTTATCTTTAAATGCCATACAAACATCCTACATTGCAGGTTGCAGTATCAGGTTTCCAGAATTTCCAATAAGGCAATACCTACACAAATATTGCCAGGCTAAAAATGTAGTAAAACTTGCATTCCCAAAATGCAATTTGTAGCTTATTTGTAATACTTTGTGAAAAGATACTATGAAACTAAAAAGTTAACCGCGGAGTGGAAACTGCTACTAGAAAGTCTGTTATCAGTAGCTACTTACTACTTAAGTCCTCCATTCTCTCTCCCAGAAGCAGCAAACCAAACAAAAAGCATCTATCAATATTAAAACCTGCCTCAATAAAAACCTAGTGTTCTAACCTAGCACCTCTAGTAAATCTAATATAGCTGCTGCCCCTACGTGCCATGGTAGGCTAATTTGAGTACACCATCTTATAATAAATATACTTTTCCCCTAAATAATTGCGATCTCTCCCTGTACCTTCCTTCCAACTGGAATAAAACATTTTAAGTAATTATTTTACTTTGGTAAATCTATTTTTAGAACTGCTATTTGAGAATTTGTTTTCCTTTGACAGAAAACATAATATAGGCTAGGATAATGATTTTTTTTTAAAATTCTACTGGGCTTTCTTCATCTGATTAAATAATGCTATGAAAGCTTTTTTAAAAAAATTAGTAAATATAAATAAAAATGTTCATCAAGAGAACCTTTTGTAGGTTATGTAAGAAAATTGTAACCACGTTACCATAAAAACACCCAATAAAGAACAATTTGAACAAGGGCCTTCAATTTTGTAGACAGGAATAATCTTGAACACATAATCAACACTGCAACCACTGCAGGTCAAAACATACACATGCAGATATAGACAGGTGTTCATATACATCTAGAAGATCACCGACTCCTTCCTTTTAAAATTTTCGTTGCCAACTTCTTTACCATCATCATTAGTCCTAGAATGAGTAATATCTACATAGTTGGTTGGCAAATTTGATGTATAGCATACTCCTTTGTGGTCTCATTTTCTGAGAGTGCAAGGAGATTTGGAGCATTAATTTTTTGGCAATCTATAGGCTTTCTTCATCATGAATCAAATCTTACACCTCAGATGATAGTATACTGACCAGTCAAAAGTCTCTAAAGAGTTTTCATTACAACTAGAAAACTTCCTGTTACAAGCCATTAAAGTTGCAAACAAACAACATTAATAAAAGAGAGAGCTCCCTCCTGCAATTCTAGGAAAAATGAATGACTATTTTGAGAAGGTAGAAAAATGGAATTCAAATATTGCAAAGGAAGAGGACTTGTAAGTTATTTCACAAACTTCATAAATTCCTTTCAAAATATTCTCAAGTACATTCTCACTCCTAAAACTTAACCCAGCCCTCCAGTCCTAAACTATCTACACTCAAAACACCTACCTGAAACCAGTACAGCTGCCCCTCATATTAAAAATCCATGACCTAAGCTGAATTTTAATAACTTTGAAGAGGAACAGAGAGATACACAGGAGGTTGTATCTAATTGTTACATAAAATGACCTCAAAGAATATACTTTAAATTCTTTTTTTTTGAGACAGAGTTTCGCTCGTCTCCCAGGCTGAAGTGCAACGGTGCAATCTCAGCTCATTGCAACCTCCGCCTTCCGGGTTCAAGCGATTCTCCTTGCCTCCTGAGCAGCTGAGGTTACAGGCATGCACCAACATGCCCGGCTAATTTTGGGATATACTTTAAATTCTATCCAAAGCTAACAATGGGTACATCAGACTCAACTTGGCACCATCAAAACAAAGTTAAAAGGTTAAAACAGGAAGGACGATGTGGGAATAAAGAGGAAATGAAACTTTCTCCTTGATATTTTAGCTCATTCTATATTGTGAATCTTTCTATTTGCTTCCTTTGAAAGAATACTAAGGAATTAGTATTGGGTGATAGCTTTGGGTGATAAACTGAACTAGAATCATTTTCATAATCTCTAACACAGTGTGCAACACGGATACTAAAACATGTGAAAAATTTTCTTCCACAATATGGTTTTCTCTTGGTCCACTTTACACAAAGTTAAATAGTGACCAAAAATAAAAGCATCTACAGTTTTAGAAGAAAATAGCACGTCAAATTTTTGGAGTTAAATGTGATGCCATCACCATGCCCGGCTAAGATGAGACTGTGCATGCGCATGTGTGCGTGTGTGTACAAATACCTCCATGTACACACACACACCTTGGTTTAAAAATCACTTGAGTAGGCTGGGCACGGTGGCTCACAACAGTAATCCCAGCACTTTGGGAGGCCGAGGCAGGTGGATCACCTAAGGTCAGGAGTTTGAGACCAGCCTGGCCAACATGGTGAAACCCCATCTCTACTAAAAATACAAAAATTAGCCAGGCTTGGTGACGGGCACCTGTAATCCCAGCTACTTGGGAGGCTGAGACAGGAGAATTGCTTGAACCGAGGAGGCAGAGGTTGCAGTGAGCTGAGACTGTGCCACTGCACTCTAGCCTGGGCAACAAGAGCGAAACTCCATCTAAAAAAAAAAAAAAAAAAATTACTTGAGGAGGTGTGCAAGGAATCAAGGGTAAAAAGGCTGCAAGGGAAGAGTAAGCAACCATGGACATATGGCCATGTTTATTTATTTATTTTTGGCCATGTTTATTTTTGTAGTTAATCTTTAAGGCACAAAATAAATGTAAAAGCCAGATCAGGAAAGGGAGGGGGCCACTGCAGATCTTTTTTAACCTAATTAACAACT